CCAGAGCCTGACGCGGGGCTCGAACTCCCGGACCGCGAGATCGTGACCTGGCTGAAGTCGGACGCTTAACCGACTGCGCCACCCAGGCGCCCCATAAGTAGAACTCTTTAAAGCAAAAGCTTTATGAAATCTACTCATATTCTGAATGTCATGCTATGTAGTCATGACCAAGGGACAGCTTCTGTGTGTTTCCGTTTCTTTCGGTTGCTATGAGATTATATAAGATGTCTAAAAGCACTGAACACAATGCCTGACACATGTCAGGGATCTAAAATGTTTTTAGGACAATAGGTCATATGACATTAGTAAATAAGTTGTGTGGCATTTTGGAACACACTTTTTCCATATAAACAGCGAAACAGAATTACATCTGGGAAAAGCAGATTTATGTCAACTAGTCTGGAAATCAAAATTACCACTAATAAAAATACTTCTGTGAAAAAAAGACAGTCTGCAATAGGAGTGATGACAGAACAGCAGATTATGCCAACCCCTCTGCATGTAGTCACTCACAAAATGCCAACAATTAGGGGCGCCTGGGTGGCTCAGTCAATTAAGCACCGACTTTGGCTCAGGTCACGGTCTCATGGTTTGTGAGTTCAAGCTCCACATCAAGCTCTGTGCTGTCAGCTCAGAGCCTGGAGCCTGCTTCTGATTCTGTGTCTCTCTCTCTCTGCCCTTTCCCTGCTTGCACTCTGTCACTCTCTCTCTCAAATATAAATAAAACATTAAAAAAATAAAAATAAAATAATAAAATAAAATAAAAAATGCCAACAATTAGCCATTTGTGGGTTTGTATGTATTTTCTCCACTGTCACAAAAGTCTGCAAAATAGGATTTATTGCCTTTTTCAAAACCTTTCAAAAATAGTAACCTGTTCAATCCTAAAACTAGCAAAGCTAGAATATAAAACCAAGTCCATCTGATTCCCAAACCCATACAATTTTCAGTATGTCACATAACTACAAGTAAGGCAAAACATTTTTTACACTGAGAACAGCTGAAGAATCTATTGCACACATGTACAGAATATTCAGATATTTTTAGCTCAAGAGTTTCTATTCTACAATTTCAGAAGCTCTTCACAGAACTGCAGTGGGGTACTACAACCCTGGAATCTATATTCTAGTATTACTCTGATTTATATTTAATAGTCTAATAGCCAAATACCTTCTGGATTCCAGGAATAGATTTTATAATAGAATTGTACCTACAGCATGTCTTGTACTACTTACATTTCCTTCAGATGTTTTATTTCTTGAATAGTTTGAAAAGCATATTCTTGTAGTTTTTCTGGGGCAAAGCTATTGCTTATTGCTTTTTGAAATACTTCATGAAGAACTGTACCAATCAGCATTTGACGTGTGGCTGGATTACAGCTCTATTAAAAACAAAAAAAATCATATATTTTATTCCACACTATTAACACACATGATCTCATATTTATTACCAATTTTAACTACCATAGCCAAACTGCACTAGTGAGACAAATGCTAAAATATTAAACAATTTTTATTCTAGTAAGTAGAATTACAGATGACTTTCACTTTCTTCTATTCAGAACTATCCGAATTAAAGACTATACTTTCAGGGATCATTTCTATAGTTTGTTATTAGAGAAGTTTCTCTGAACGTAAAGAATTACCCAAATTATTTTACAAGCATGTTATTTTTAAAGAAAATCAGTAATTTCCACTTTGAAAATATTAAAAATAACCTATATGAAAAATTTCAATGTATTTTCAAATACTTAATATATTCTTTTCTAATTTCACTTTATAATCTACCGAAATAAAATGCAATAAAGCCATGGCTCATAAACTCATGTAAGTAAAAGACATTATTCAAACATAAAATTTAAATTTACAGCACAGATTTTTGACAAGTTCTCTCCACTCAAAAAGAAATAGTATTTAAAAAAAGAAAAGGGCGCCTAGGTGGCTCAGTCTGTTGAGTATCTGACTTCTGCTCAAGTCATGATCTCACAGTTCATGGGTTCAAGCCTTGCATCGGGCTCTGTGCTGACAGCTCAGAGCTGGAGCTTGCTTCAGATTCTGTGTGTGTCTCTCTTTCTTTGTCCCTCCCGCGCTTATGCTCTGTCTCTGCCTCTCAAAAATAAACATTATAAGAAATTTTTAAAGAAAAAAAAAGGCATATTATTTCTCAATTAACCCTTTTCTTAGCCTAGACATTCCCCTTAAAGCTATCAAAAAACTAGATAAAGTCCACCAAAACATGCTTCAGGAATTTAAAAAATTAATTTACAGAGGGATTCTCTGTACTATTCATGCAAGTTCTTAACAAGTCTAAAAGAACTACGAAGTAAAAAGTTTCTAAAACAATTTTGGTTTTCTACATAGATATAAATTGTATAATTTTTAAAATACACTGAAAGGAAGAGGAAACTCTTAATAAAAACCCAGGTTCTTCAGTAAATGGAACTAAAACAAAGAGGGTAAGAATAGGTAGAATATAGATTAAAAAAAACTTAGGAGACCTATCAAAACATAAATCAAAGACTCTGGGGGTGCCTGGCTGCCTCAGTTGGTAAAGCATCTGACTCTTGATCTCAGGGTTGTGTGTTCGAGCCCCACACTGGGTATAGATATTACTTAAAAATAAAATCTTGGGGCGCCTGGGTGGCGCGGTCGGTTAAGCGTCCGACTTCAGCCAGGTCACGATCTCGTGGTCCGTGAGTTCGAGCCCCGCGTCAGGCTCTGGGCTGATGGCTCAGAGCCTGGAGCCTGTTTCTGATTCTGTGTCTCCCTCTCTCTCTGCCCCTCCCCCGTTCATGCTCTGTCTCTCTCTGTCCCAAAAATAAATAAACGTTGAAAAAAATAAAATCTTAAAAAAAAAAAACCAAAAAACCTTGTTTGAATTCTGACAAACCAACTGAAGAAAAAACTACTTTCTATTAAAGACATTACAGAGAAATAATGGGACATTATCTATCTGGGCATTATAGATAAACTGGGCATTATATTAATGAAAGGAAATACTTTTAATTTTATGGTGTATGACAAAGGTATCATATTTATATTTTTAAAAGATCCACCTTCATTTACATGCAAAATAATATAATGTTTGAGAACAGCAAAATGGGTATATAGGAAATTATTCGAATCATCTATTTATGTATGTTTGAAATTTTCCAGAATATTTTTTTATGAGAGACAGTCACATTTATTTTTAGTTTATTGGAAATCACATGAAGCCAAGTTTGGAAATTCCTAGAAGCATTAAAAAATATCATCACTTACATTACTTTTATCATTAGAATCAATTATTTTATTAAGCACTGATCAAGATTCAAAGGATTCAGTCACCTGGACTTGAGTCCTAGCACTGCCACTTATTAGCTACAGTAACTCTCAGCAAGTCATTTAACATTTAACCTCTCTGAGCCTGATTTTCCTCATCTGTAAAATACAGCTGATTATTACCATCTACCTCACAGGAATTTGTGACAACTAAATGAAATAAGAGTATAAAAGTGCTCTGTAAACTCTAAGACCCTGCAGAAACATTAGCTGTTAATATTACTCACCCTAAAAGTTTCACTTAGGACAGCTCTTCTCATACATCGAATACTACTGGCTATGCTTGTGCCAGAAATCAGTATGTCTGGATACAGAATCAAATATCCAAAATCTTCATCTATTATCCAAGTATCAGATATGCAGTCTCCCTCCAAATGAATGATGTCCCCCGGCTCCACTGGTAAAGAGCACCTAAAAATAAAGCAAAATATACATAGTTTAGGTTCCTATATTTAAACATGTTAAGGAAGCTTCAAAAAGCAAATAGTACTTTATCTGAAGGAATAGTATTTGTAAATTTCTGGGTCTTTCAAAATAATTTAATACTAGGATGCAGTCTTCAGAATCAACTCCTACTCATTCTACTCCTTTCTACCTTTGAAATACAACTGAGAACACTCAGGGGTCTTCCTTAAATACCAAAAAGGAAAACTGCTTAGGGTTAGCATCATTTACTGCAAAAGCTATCAAATCTTTAATAGCGTCAATACATAGCTCCACTTATGGATTAGCTTATTTCAATAATAATTCTCTCATTCTTAAGATTTCTAACATTTCTACAGTTTCTGTAAGTCTTGAGACATGAAGACAAACCCAATGTGTTAAGAATAAAAACATACTGGGGCACCTGGGTGGCACAGTTGGTTAAATGTCCAACCTCGATTTTGGTTCAATCTCATGAACCGTGAGATTGAGCCCTGATTTGGGGCTCCAGCATGGAGCCTGCTTGGGATTCTCTCTCCTCTTTCTCTGTTCTTCCCCCAAGCTAATGTGCACACACAACCCCTCTCCCTCTCTCTCTCTCTCTGAAAATAATGAATAAATGCTAAAAAAGAAAAAAAAAAGAACAAAATCGTATTTATCATTCTTATCTAGACAAAGAGCCTAAATAGACAAAATTAGACCTCCACTTTCTCTGAATTTCCCCTTTACCCCTCACATACCATACTTTGCTTGTGTAGAGAAACCTAGGGTTTCAGAATGTTCTTATGCTGTAATTAATTTTGCTTTTAGTGAAAATAATTACGAGTTTTAAGCTGCAATCTTAAAAAGTACTGGGAAGGGGCGCCTGGGTGGCTCAGTCGGTTAAGCGGCCGACTTCGGCTCAGGTCATGATCTTTCGAGTCAGTGAAGAGTTCAAGCCAGCGTCCTCGGGCTCTTCTTTGTAGCTCAGGAGCCTGGAGCCTCAATTCTGTGTCTCCCTGTCTCTGACCCTCCCCCCGTTCATGCTCTGTCTCTCTCTGTCTCAAAAATGAATAAACGTTAAAAAAAAAAAATTTTGGGAAGCCTGGGTAGCTGCCGTGATTTAGTCGGCTTCAGCCAGGTCCCGCGATCTCGTCAGTCGAGTTGAGCCACGTCAGGCTCTGGGCTGGTGGCTCCAAATCTTCATTCATTCCAGTTCTGTGTCTTCTCCCTATATACTGCCCCGTTCATGCTCTGTCTCTCTCTGTCCCAAAAATAAATAGAAAAAAAAAAATTAAAAAAAAAAAAAATTTTTTTAGTACTGGGAAACTTTGGAAGTAGTCATCTAATAAGGCCCTTTGTTTGGGTTTGGGCCCCGTGTCGGGCTCTGTGCTGACAGCTCTGAGCCTGGAGCCTGCTTCGGATTCTGTGTCTCCCTCTCTCTCTGCCCCTCCCCTGCTCATGCTCTGTCTCTGTGCCCAAAATGAAATAAACATTAAAAAAAGTGGGCCCTTTGCCTTTGGATTAATTTTCTTTTTTTATGCTTATGTTTTTGGGGTTTTTTTTAATGTTTATTTATTTTTGAGAGAGAAAGTGAACGAGAGGAGCAGAGAGACGAACCCACAAACCGTGATATCATGACCTGAGCTGAAGCCAGACGCTTAACCAACTGAGCCACCCAGGTGCCCATATGTTTATTTTTGAATGAGAGAGACAGAGCGTGAGTACTAGAGGGGCAGAGACAGAGAGAGAGTGAGTGAGTGAGAGAGAGAGAGAGAGAGTGAGTGAGTGAGAGAGAGAGAGAGAGAGACAGAATCTGAAGCAGCCTCCAGGCCGAGCTGCAGCACAGAGCCCGACATGGGGCTTGAACTCACAAGCTATGAGATCATGACCTGGGCCTAAGTTGGACACTTAACTGACTGAGCCACCCAGGTACCCCGTACTTAATTTTCAAATGACAATAAAGATCAAGTGTCAGAATAAGGGCTTTGAGATGCTGAGGTAATAAGCAAAATGTTTACATGGAATTAATTCAGGTTCATATCTGCTCCCTTAATACTCTTAAGCCAGATCAGTGCTCAAAGTCACACAAAAATTACCAGTCATTCCTAAGGATACACAGTTCTTTATATTCTAGTGACTGAGAAGCAGTGATGATTAGGTGCTTTTCATGGTTTCCTTCTTCATTCTGTACAGTATTGACTGCTAATACCAGGTACCGGTTATCCATTCCTCGGTTCAGAACTGTTTTAGAAAAGGAAGCTTCCACTTTCTTCTGAAATCTGAAGCATACACAAACAGAACTACTGTAGCATGAAATAAGCCATCCAATTTCCTTTATCTACAAACCAGCCTTCTAGTTTTCTAGGTTTGTTTCTTCTAGAAAGCTTATCACAATGACCATTAGCTAAAATACGTAAAAATTAAGAGAGCAAGGGCATAGCAGAATTCCGATTGTAAAACTTCCCAAAAGTAATGCCATTTAAAACATGCTTGTGATACGAGTTTTTCCAAATACTGTATAGGTTCTCAGGAGCTCTGTGAAACATCCATGATTATGAGGATTAAGGATAAATTGAGAAATATCAAATAACAAATTCCTACCACTGGTGCAAACCCTCCCAAAGTACAAATAAAAGCAAATGTCTTGTACACCATCTTTTTTGTAAATGAAAGGTATTGTTAAGGAAAACCATAGTGGAGGTGGTTTGCTGAAATCCTACCTTGAGCCACAGTATTGTATCAATCTTTAGGAGCCTACTTAGAAATTATCTAGTCGGACCTACTATTTAATGAAGAAAATCTTTCTGTAAAATCTCAGTATGAATCAACTAGCACCTACTTCCTAGAGAAAGCAAGTAATACCTGTCACATTAGTTCATTCATACAGTGACTCAACTCAGAAATTTCTCATTTATAATGGGCAAGTCAACTGCACAATACTTTTATCCATTGATCCTAGCCGCCTGAAAACTATGCAGGACTGCTCTAACCGCTCTAGAAAATATTAAGTCCCTCTTTAGTCCTTCCAGTTTGATTGCAGTCTTTACCAGTGACAGTACAATAGTCCACAGTCATTACCTCTCTAATTATAATACCAAATGCCTTCCTATTACCCTCAAATTATCTTTGTCACCCAACCCTAGACTCTTACTACTTTGTAATCGCCTCATTCACCTACTCCAGGGAGCCTCAGGCTGCGAAATTCCCAAAGGTCAGTTGGGACACCTTAAGGATCTCGCAAAGGTATGGCTGATCAAAACCCAAAACGCAAAGATCCGTCAACAATAATTATCATTATTATTAATTGAAAATAATTCCACATTATGCTGGTCAAGTTGCCCTGACCATTTAGTCCAAGTTGAGGATGCAGAGTTCTCCGTGGGATAAGTTTCTCCAACTACATAAGGAGAAAAGCATCTAGCAGTTGCAATTTCCTTTTATGAAGGCTAGTTTAAGGTGACTGGCACTCCCCGAATACGGGCAGGAATGAACGGTTGAGTAAGCAGTTTTCGAGCTCTGGCCCAAGTGCGGACCCAAACAGAACCCTATGAAACAGATCCCAGCTCGGGAAACTCGTCCGGCACCCTGGGACCCGAGCGGGATCATTTTATCCCAAGCCTGGCTTCCCGGAGGCGTGGGTGCCGCCTCTCCCGCTCCTTTCTTTCAAATCTCCCGCCTTGCTCCCAAACCCTCCCTCCGCTCCGCTCACAGCTCCGCCGGCGGACCAGCCTCTTCCCCGAGACTCTTCTTCAACAGCTCCAGTTCTTCCAGCTGCAACATCCCGGGGGAAGACACTGCAAACACACGCCAGTTAAAACCAGGGAAACGGAGAACCTCAGAGAAGGAAAAGAAGCGCGAGTCCGCGAGGCCCCGCACGCATGCGCATCTCCGCCTGCCCACCGCAGTCCCAAGTGACCTGCGCGAAGCTGCCCCTCCCAGCCCGGCATGCTCCACGTGGAGAGCGGCGCTTGGGCGGAGATTTTAAGAGATCCTTGCTCCCTTGCTTATGCGTTAGGAAAATTGGGGGTGTTCTTAATCTGGCCCAGACAAATATTCTCGCATTTTCTCTAGACACGCCAACGCATGCTCAACACACACTCTTAGAACAGAACCAATTACCCAAACCCAGGCGTCCCTTGTTAGCATGCAGAATTTTCTATTCTTTTGGGAGAAAACCTCGCCTTTTTTTTCCAGAAAATTGAGAAAATAGAAGCCATCAGGTAGGAATTTCCTCATGATACCATGACTTTCTACAAAAGTACTAATATCCGTGCTTGTCTTATATCCTCTTTCCACTTTTTCAACAGTGGACAAAGTCCACTGATCAATGAACAATCCTATTTGTACTCATTCAAGGGCCTTTTTTTCTTCAGCTACTCCGTCATTCTCTTGTATCATCAATGTGGACCTCACTAGTAGGTTCCTCCCAGACTTGTAATGTGGCCGTGTCTCCCACCTTTAAAAGATGTTACCTTGGGGAGCCTCGGTGGCTCCCTTGGTTGAGTGTCTGAATTTGACTAAGGTCCTGATCTTGCTGTTGGTCAGTTAGAGGCCCTGCATTGAACTCTCTGCTATCCCGGAAGAACCTGCTTTGGATCATCTGTCCCCCTTACTCTCTGCCCCTTCCCTGCTGGTTCCATCGCAAAATAAATAAACTTTAAAAAATAAATAAAACAAAATAAAATAAAAGATGTTGCCTTGATGGATTTACTCCATCTCTCTCTTGGCCATCCTGAGAGCAAAACTTTATTTTTTTATTTTTTCAGTAATCTCTACACCTAACATGGGGCTTGAAGTCACAATTTGAAAGAGTCACTGGCTCCACTGACTGACCCAGCCAAGTGCCCCTATCCTCCCATTTAAAAATAATCTTTATGGGGCAGCTGGGTAGCTCACTGGGTTAACCATCTGATTCTTGATTTTGGGTCAGGTCATGATATCATAGTTCTTGAGTTTGAGCCCTTCATGGGGCTCTCAGCTGACAGCCTGGAGCCCGCTTGGGATTCTCTCTTCTCTCCCTCTCTCTTTGCCCCTACCCTACTCTTAATTTTAAAAAATCAAAATAATCGTTATTAAAAGTTGTCTTTTATATTCGTGTTTATTCATACAAAATTATGAGAAATTTCTTGGGGGGAGAAAAAAGCCTTGCCTGTAATAGATACAGATTTTCTTCCTTCCTTTCTTTCTTTCTTTCTTTCTTTCTTTCTTTCTTTCTTTCTTTCTTTCTTTCATGTCTATTTTTGACACAGAGAGAGAGAAAGAGAGAGAGCAAGCACGTGTGGGGTAGGGGCAGAGAGAGAGAGGGAGACACAAAATCCAAAGCAGGCTCCAGGCTCTGAGCTGTCAGTACAGAGCCCCATGCAGGGCTCAAACACATGAACCATGAGATCATAACCTGAGCCAAAGTCAGAGGGTTAACGGATGGAGCCACCCAGGCGGCCCAATACATACAGATTTTCTACCTGTGACACCACACTCATCTGGTTTTCCCCCAACCTCACAGGCCCTCTTCAATCTCCTGTATTGTTTCTTCATTTTCTGCCCAATCTGTAAATGTTGGAAGTCCTCAGAGTTCAGTTTCTGGACATATTTTTCTATCTACCAGTTCCCTAGGTTTTTTCAGACATTGTCATGGCTTAATTTTATTATTATTTTTTTATTCTCGTGGCTTTAAATACCATCTCTATCCTGCCAATTCTCACATTCATGTGTATAGGCAAGGCTTTTCCTCTGAATTCAAAAACACAACTACTGCTTGATATCTACACTTAGCAATATG